GCAGCAGCAGCAGCAGCAGCGCTCCTCGGTGTCCGGCTATCCTACTTGTGGTCGGTCCAGAATGAGGCAGGAGAGTCAGCCCCGCCTTGTTTGAACATTACAACCAACACACGCTGGTTGGATCACACAGCCTGTTGTTCCAAAACAGAAAAAAAATAGATGTGGAAATGAGAAGTAAAGATGGTTCCTTCCTTTAACAGCTTTTATTCTCTCTCTCTCCCCCCTCTCTCCCTCTCTCTTTATCTCACTATGTCTCTCTCTCTCTCTCAGCGGATGTTGGCATCACCTCTGCTGGTGTACATCACTGTAGCAGCAGCGCCAGTGTCAAGACAGGCACTCAAAGACGTGACTTCCTTTGAGTTTTTTCATATTAAAAGCATACACTTTACATGGGAAGTGTGTTCGTGAAAAAGAATGAGGAATATAGTGTCTCATATGTTTTTTTCTGCACAAAAGAGTATAATTAAAATCCTTAAAAAGGCCTCTACACCTTCTACCCCATTGTGAATATGTAACTGTGGTCCACTCTCAGTGTATGTGCCTTGGTGGCAGATTGAATCCTGGTCTAAGTTGCATATTAGACCAGGATTTGGAAACACAAATCATATGATGATACATGCAATGATACAGTCTGTGTACCGCTCTAATAAAGCAAACTGTAAGTGAAATAACAGAAATATAATTCAAATAAGCTCAACTGGAATGTATAGAAAAGAATAAAGGTATATTATTCAATTACAAAAAGGCATAACAAGGCTAAATAACAGAAACATAGTGTATATTATTATTCAGTCTACAATCATTGTAAAATAAATCATATATCATGCACTGTGCTATATGTTTAAATATAGGCCTATTGTAGGTACCCTATATTAATATCCACAAGGCTCACAGAGGAGGGTCTATTACTCAGAGCTGTACAATATTAAAAATATCCAAACACAGACCATAAACCAGAATGTTAGCGCTTTTATTTTTTTATACTACATTGATTTTACTTTGAAGGCAAAAGCCTCTAACTTCCGTTTCAACCCTCGCTGTCTTTGATGGGTTTGACGCAGCAGCACATCACAGGACCGTCCCACGCATTAACAGCCTAATTATACAGCGCACACAGACAAAATAACAGTAAATGAAATGTATTTCCTTAAAGTTCATCTCCATTTCCAACAATATTTTGGATAAATACATGCGCTGTGCCAAACCCCATTTAAAAATCTACACATTTAAAATATGTGGCTGATTTATCCACACAGGAATGTGACCCTATTCCTTTTACATTTAGTCTCAAATTTATCTGCATTACGTCTTTTAAAACAAGTGCTGCTGTGATCCTATACAGCTTGAAGAGTATATCTCATCATTGTTCAGAGTCAGCAGCGGGAATAAATTGTGTCAATGCACTGATTTATTCAATGAACCATAACTTACGCGTTAAGTCAATTTCATCTGTGACTGCAGGGGCATGACATTATTAATTCATTGACTGAAAGCCTTTTATCATCAACTGTGTCAAACTGGGCTGTATCGCCCTCTGATGGACGGTTTTAGTTTGTAGTTGATAGCAAAGTTTCTATTTTATAGTTTGTTAACTAATAAATGATGCCAGTAACTTATAACAGACGAAGGGAAATAATAATGTAGAGAATAACAGAGTCTTACGTTAATGTAGTGAACCAAATACAATTAAAATGTCATTATATTGTCACTGTATAGTCCCATAATTTATTGGAATTACGTAGGGATATTTAAAAGTAGCCTATTAGCTACATGCAAAAGTGAAAATAGTCTTTCAATAATATAATTTTTGTCACCTACTCTATGACCTTATGAGCTGTTAATCTTTTTACAGACATTCCCAGCTCCCAAAATTTTACTGGACTTTTCAAACTACTACACTACTGTGTTAAGTTAACTTTAATTTAATTTTAGTTAATTTTAATTTTATTTTAGTAAACTTTAATTTTATTTTGTTAACTTTAATTTTATTTTTTAATTTTATTCTAAGGTATGTTTAATGTATGTTTAATGTATGTCTGGTATGCTACTGGATGCTTGAATTTCTATCTATCTATCTATCTTATCTATCTAGTCTATCTATGCTATCTATCTATCTATCTATCTATCTATCTATCTATCTACTGCTATCTATCTGTCTGTCCTGTCTGTCTGTCCTGTCTGTCTATCTATCTATCCTATCTATCTATTCTATCTATCTATCTATCAATCTATCTACTCTACCTGAGCCATAGACCTCCAACACTTATCTTCATCAGGCAAACATGACATCATGCTCACATCATAGTCAGCTGATCAAACAAAACTAAAGGAATTAAAAATACAACCATCAAGCTATATGAACAGAAATGGTAGCAAATGAATTGATTTCATGGAATGTGACTACTAATTTACTGGTTCCAAACCACACATGCCCATAATGCACCATGGCACGAAAAAGCTTGTTTGAGAGCTTCATACCTAGAATTTAGGTTCATGGTGCATTCAGAAAAAACCTGGGTTGGGTGTGAGCGTGAAAGTTCAATATGCTATGCATAACAGGATGTCACACTAAGTATTCATATGATAACTGTATCGCTTTCATGTGTGAAAGTCTGTGAGTAGCACAGGAATGAAGAGCTAGTTTCTAATATTTGTCTCTCCTTTCTCTGCGGCCACAGGTCATTGTGTTATTATTAGAAGCTTGTAGGACATCAAAATGTGAGAAGGTGTCAGGTCAGGAAAGTCAACTCCAGATCTCAGTGTCCAAGATCCAGAGATGAAAAACCAAACAGCTGTAATGAGGCTGCTTTCTGTCCTGTCACCTTACACTGTCAAAGTTAAAGTCAAAGTCAGCT